ATCTCCACTTACACACCAAATTGGATATCCTGAAAATCAAAGGAAAGATTAATAAAATTGAAAGTAGGCAAACCATTTGAAGTAATTAATAAAACTGGGAGTTGGCTTTTATGGAAAAAAATGGATTAACCATTGGTTAATTTGATTTTTTTAAAAAGATGAAAGACAAATTACCAGTATCAAAAATGAAAAGGGTGAATTCACTACCAGTAAAGAGAAAATTAAAGTAATTATTAGGAACTACTCTGCTCAGTTCTATGCCAGTAAATCTAACAATCTAAATTAAATGTATGAATATTTGTGAAAATGTAAGTAGCCTAAGTTATCAGAAGAGGAAGTAGTGAGATAATTTAAAAAATCCTATCTCAGGAAAAGAAATTAAACAAGCCATCAATGACCTCCCTAAGAAAAAATCTTCAGGACCCAGATGGATTCACAAGTGAGTTATACCAAACATTTAAGGAACTATTAATCCCAATACTGTATAAAGTATTTGGGGAAAATAGTTAAATAAGGAGTCCCACCAAATTCTTTTTATGGTGCAAATATGGTATGGTAAACAGATAAAGCCAAAACAGAAAGCTATAGACCAGAATGAATTTAAATGCAAAAAAAAATTTTTGTAAATAGAATTTTATTTTTTCCAATTACATGTAAAGATAATTTTCAACATTCATTTTTAATAAGATTTTGAGTTCCAAAATTTTCTCCCTCCTTCTAAGAACTTCATCCTCCCCAAGGTGGCAAGCAATCTGATGTAGATTATACATATAATGCAAAAATTTTAAATAAAATCCAAGCAAGGAGATTACAGCAATGAATCACAAAGATTATATGCTATGACCAGGTGAGATTTATACCAGGAATGCAGGGCTGGTTCAATATTAGGAAAACTGTAATCGTAATTGACCATATCAATAGCAACAAAAACTGTATCATTATATCAATATAAATACACATATAAAATATGATATATATATAATATAAAAAAGACTTTAATGAAATACCTTGCCTGTTCCTATTGAAAACACCAGAAAATATTGGGATTAAAATTACCTTTCTTAGAATAAAGTTATATCTATCTAAAACCAAGGGGAAGCATTATATTTAATAGAGAGAAACTTGAAACTTTTCCAGTAAGACCTTGAATAAAGTAAGGATGTGTATTATCACCTTTATTACTCAATATTGTACTAGAAATGCTATCTATAACAATAAGACAAAAAAAAAGAATTTAAAGAAATAAAAATAGGCAGTGGGGAAACAAAACCATCACTTTTTGCAGAGAATATGATGATTTACTTACAAAATCCTAAAGAATCAACTTAAAAATTCCATTCAGAATAACTGCAGATGATGTAAAATATTTGTGAGTCTACCTGCCAAGACAAACATAAACACAATTATAAAGTACTTTCTATTCAGATAAAGGTATCTAAACAATTGGAGAAATATTAATAGCTTATGTGTAGGCCAAGCCAATATAATAAAATAAAACTAATGTATCCAGAATTGGAAGGAAAACAGGCAACTGGCAAAATATTTTTCAGCAAGTTTCTCTGAGAAAGGCCTAATTTTTCTAATATATGTGGAACTGGGTCAGATTAGAGCCATTCCCCAGTTGGTAAATGATCAAAGGGTATGAACAGTCAGTTTTCAGAAGAAATCAAAGCTCTCATTAGTCTCGTTAAAAAATACTCTAAATCACTACTAAAAACAACTCTTGAGATATGACTTTACTTATCAAAATGGCTGACATGACAAAAGGAAAAAGACAGGCTGGAGGGAATGTAGAAAAAATTGGGACTTTAATGCACTGTTGGTGGAGTTGTGACTTAGTTCAACCATTCTGGAGAACAATTTGAAATTACACTCAAAGGACTATCAAACTGTACAAACCCTTTGGCCCAGCAAGACCTCTACTAGGGCTGTAGGAAACAGATCAAAGAAAAAGGAAAAGAACTCATTTGTACATAACTATTTATAACAGCTCTTCTTGTGGTGGGAAAGACTTGGAGGTTGAGGGATGCACATCAGTTGCTGAATGGCTGAACAAGTTGTAGAGTGCTGTTGTAATGGAATACTGTTGTGCTGTAGGAAATGATTGAACAGGATAGTTTCAGAAAAACCTGGGAAGACTTATATGAACACATGCAAAGTTAAGTGAGCAGACCCTGCAGAACGTTATACACATTGACAGCAATATTGTAAGGATGATCATCTGTGAAGCCTTAGCTACCTCAATCAAAACAATGCTCCAAAGTTACTAGATAGTGTGTGCCCTTTGACTTTGCAATATGTTTTCTAGACCTGTTTCTCAAAGAGATCAAAGAAAGAGAAAAAGGACACATAAGTACCGTTAAATGTTTATAGCAGTTCATTCTGTGGTTGCGAAAAATTGGCAGCTATGAAGATGCCCATCAGTTTGGGAAGCCTGGATAGATTAGGGTATATGAATATAGTAGAATACTATGGTTCCCTAAGAAATGACCAAAAAAAAAAGACGATTTCAGATAAACCTGGAATATCATATGTGAACTGATATCGAGAGGAATGAAAAGAACCCAAACAACTCCTCTGCTATCTTTGCCTCTCCTCCGGCTTGTAACAACACACACCTTCTTCCTTTGAACATTCACAATTCTTGCCATATTTGTCAGTTTGCCAATTTTACCTCGAGGTTGTGTGGATTTGATTTTTCTGAGTCTTAGATGTATAAAGTGCTTTGCTCAGATAGGTTGACCTAAAAGACAAGATGTCTGTTCAGGTCTCACCTCTGGCACACACTGCCTGTGTGACCTAGGCCCATAACCTAATTGCTTAGAGCACTCTAGAATTCTCTGAAACAATTAAGTTGCAGAGAAGGTACTGACTTGAATTTGTAGAATTCTCTATGAAAATGGATTTGCTGGGAGTTCTCTTTATTAATAAAATGACTGGTCGAATCTCTAGCCTTAATTTTTTTTCCATCCAATCACTTTCTTCCTTATTATTCTAGTTGCTTTCATGTTGTTGTTGTTGTTGAGAAGTTTTGCCATTTCATGTAATTGCGATGATCTGTATTATCTTTTGTCACACTTCACTTGGCAAGAGTGAGAAAAGATGGATAGGGCTGTTGAATGTTGGATGGCTTGTAGAAAGAGAGATACTTTAAGGTTGGATAGCAATTTTAAAACATGACAAATTTCTATAATCTTTGTTTTTTTAAAATACACAGGAAACAAATTGGTTATCAATGTGGAATGCATTTCTTCATCAGCTGTCCGTATTTTGTACTTTATTTTAAGATCATATGAGACTCCTTGAATGATGTAACTTTGTTTTACTCTCTTACTGATGTGAGGCAAGGACTAAAATAGACTGCTGTATGCTCTATAAATGTGTTAGACAGCGTCATGGTGCGTGTTCAGCTATCAGCCCAAATGGCAGAGGGATTCCCTCTATCTAGTGAGAACCTCCGGATGCTTTTGTTTCAGAGGATGTGATCGGCATTGCAGCAAGTGTTACTGGTCTTCAGTTGCAAGGCTGTAGAACCCTTGTCTCAGTATAATTGCCTCACACCATCTTTCAGTTTGCATACCTATTATAGTAAAACCCTATCTGTCTGCTTCTACTTTGGTGGGAATGACCCTGGGAAATAAGCCTGCCCCCAAATTTTCCAGGCTCCATCTGTCTATATCCTTCATTTATCATAGTCATGATCCAGTGGTAGGAGGGAAAGTCAGTCAGAAAGCACTGTCTAGTTTGTTAGAGGGCTGGACATCTTAGCTATTCTTCACTCTAGTCCCCTGAAGCCAAGATTCTTTGATTCACATCTGTATTTACATTTCTTACTGTTTGGGGAGCCTTCGGATCTCCCAAATGTAAAGAGAAAGATAACACAAGAGCTAGGAGGTAGCTGCTTAACCTCTTTTTACAAATTAATTTAATTAGCTTATTATTGTTATGTTTTATTATGGGTGACGATTGTAAAAATTTTGTTAACTCAGGATTAAAACTCGTTGAAACTTTTCTGGAAGTAGTAGTCTACTTTTTGCTTTAATCAACACAGTATGCTACTATAAGTGGCAGGTAGGTGGTGTTGCAGTGGGTAGAGAATCGGGCCTGGAATCAGGAAGACTCTTCTTCTTGAGTTCAAATGTGGCTCAGACACTTCCTAGCTGGTTTACCCTGGGCAAGTCGCTTAACCATGTTTGCCTCAGTTTCCTCATCTGTAAAATGAGCCAGAGAAGGAAATGGCAAACTGCTGCAGTATCTTTGCCAAGAATCCCCCAGTGGGGTCAGGAAAAGTCAGACACAACTGAAATGACTGAATGACATCAATCCTCCTGGGATTTATAGTTTCGTCATGTGGCGCTGTAGCTGCACATTTGGCTGCCTTTTCCATGTAGACAGTTTCACAATGACAAGTTCTTCTGGTGACAAACTCATCTCGAGTTAGCTTAATGACCTTTGGATGAACAGTCTGTTTTTGGGCCTGTTTTTGAAGGCTAAACAATTGACAGGATCTGCCAGAGATTGTGCACAGTCAACATAGCTTTTCAGAACAATCCAAGGTTTTCCTCACCCCATGATCAAGGGAGCAGATTCATACTTTAATAGAAGTTAATTGTGACCATAATTTAATGGTTCTCTGATTTTAGCATTTTGCTTCTAACATCTTTAGGATGATCATTACTGAATTCAGTTCTGTGTACGTATAGGAGCAATGTAAAAAGTTGTAAATTAAAGTTACAAAAGTTATAAAAGTAAAATATAGGAGTTTGAATTGAATCTTTGCTGGCCTACATTCCTTATTGAATTATATCTTGTTTGCCTTTCGTTAAAAAAAAAAATTAATGTAAAAGAAATCTAGATGAATATTTATGGTAAATACTAATTTTAGAAGAAATTACTATTTAATCAATTTCATATATTGTATTTCAGTTCAGAAATTATTTAATGAAAAACTGATAGTATTAAATTTTTTTTCACTTTGCTTATGTGTAACTTTTCCCTAGATATATATCTAATCTGATGATCTTGAATGGGAGAAGCTAAAGTGGATTAAAGTTAATGAAGATTTTACTGCTTTCTTGTTGGAATACCAGTTAGTTTGGACAAAAAGGAAGAATCCTATCAAAGATTAAACACATTCAGCGGCCTACATTGGTAAGTTTTTTTTAAATATTCCGTTAAGAATGTCAGTTATTTATTCATGTACAAGAAATAAATGTGTTCATGTAGCTCCATCTTTCAGGTTGTACATTAACAATCCCATAATACTAACACTTTTTAAGTATCTGATTGCATCTTCAAAAAATTGCCATTCTTTTCTAAAAGATCTCATCTATCATTCTGCTACAAAAATCTGCTAAGTCTCGCTCTCAGTTCTGTTTTGTCCACAAAATAAAGTTTAAGTTAAAGTGGAAAAAAATAGAAAATATAAAGGGATGCTGAGAGCTCAGTTGATTAGGTGACATGCTTCTTAGAATTTCTTATTTCAGTTATGTTTTACATTTGGAAGGGAAAAGAAGTACCAATATTAAAGTTTTTGATTGCATTTCATTGTGGGGTTGTTTTTTTTTTTTTGCTATGATTTCATACATAACCATTTTTTCAGAACTTATTGAGAAAGGTAAGTTAGTGTAAAATTACTGAGAATTCAGCTTTCGGGAAATAGAGTAAATCTTAAATTCTGAGCACATTGGTTTCTTTTTTCCTCTGGTCTTTAAGAGTAAGCCACTTCATATGCTTAAATGGGTAATTAAATATCATTGAATGATTTGAACCAGATATGTGATTTCACCCATCTAAGAAACTTCTTTTCTGAGTGCACATTGGCACGTGAGCCACAGTTGACAGGCATAGAGAAGTGCTTCGGGCACTGACCACTTCACTTGCTGGCCTGCTTTCCTAGAGCTCCTGTTTGTCAGAAGTGAGATTTGAACCTGGTAGTCCTGACTCTGAGGCTTGCTCTGTCCACTAGTATTGAAGGATTTTTTTCCCCTGACTTCACTTTTAGTCTGTTGGCAGATATATTTAGAACAAACTAATTTTCAGTTACTCTTATTGGTATCCCACAAGCACTTATTAAGCACCTGTGTGTGCCAGGTACCAAAAGAGATCCAAAGTTTAAATGAAGACATGGGGGGACAGGCAGGGGCAAATTATGTTCTTATTCCACTCAACTCTAACAAAGAGGCTGCAGATGTGTAAATGTTGTGAACATTGGGAGGAAGTTAGCCACTCCATCTTAGAATTTCTATTAAAGCAAATAGTTCTACATGTATCCTTGATTTTGGGAGACTAAATTTCAAAGAGTCATTAAGAAGTAAAATTCTGTAGGGAAAGTTAGCCTGGTTAGGATGGGAAGTTCTCAAGATTAAAATTTTGAAGGCTCAAAGAAAAAAACAGTTGTGCAAGGATGAAAAAAAATATTACTAAAGAGCCTAATTTGTACGTCTGGGGAATTTGTCATCAAACTTAAGTCTTCAAAAGACTTGTCTAAGTGGAATCAAGGACTAGTGACCGAGTTTGAATTTTTAAAATGGTAATATGGCCTTGTAAAAAGAGTATTAGTTTTGCTAAAGCTTGGAATGAACTGAGGATAGTGATGGAAGCTCAGATTCATAAAAGGGGTTTGGAGATTTTTAGCTGATGTAGGAAAAGGGAAAGATCAAAAAAACTTTGAGAGTGACTCTCTGGGGAAACGACAGCTTAACTATAGGAATACAGAGCTGCTCAAATTCCATTTTATTTCAGTGTTCTCTGCTAAATGGAATTGTTTTTAATTAGGTAGGGCAGAGTGAAATGGCTAAGGGGGAATTCCTATCCCTCCTTCTCAGTTAAGTAGAAAATGGGAAGAGAAAATGTCGAGGTCGTCACCTAGCCCAGATATCCTAGGCTGTTGAAAGACTAAATGGAAATGATTGAGTAATGTTTTCAGTTTTCTTTTAAAGAAGGGTGTGTATGGCATTGAAAAGGGATCACAGTTAGGATTTCAAAAAAGGGGAACTGAAGAGAATCTGCAAATTATAGACCAATAAATTTGACTTCTGTTTTCGGAAAAGTCCTAGAAGATGTTATTTAAGATAATTGTTCGGATCACAAAGATCCAAGACAGCTTTCATGCAAACAGGTCATACCAGACTAATCTTGTTTCATCTTTTGATCGCGCTACACTTTTGATAGATCTGCATAATAAGTATAGGACTTGCTATCTTCCCATCAACTGGAAAGCTTCCCAGGCTTTCTGACAAAACGCGTTCTCACCTGGTAGTCTTGGAGGAAGCACACTAGTGTGGGTTCATGAGTGATAGTGTTAGAAAAGGTACTTCCTCATCTCCTGGGTCTCCCTCTCGTTCTGAGAGTGGGTAGCCACGTGCTCTGAGGAGCTGAATGGAGTCTAGTAGGTGGAATGAGAGCCTCAGAGCAGGTGGTACAATTTCAAATCCATTTTGATTGACACCTTTTGTTTCAGTGTAACCTACATTCTTCCTCTCTCTCTTTTTCCTTCTCCTAAAGAGGTATCAATAGTACTTTTTCAAATCATTAAACTTCCCTTTGGAGTTATAAAATGCATTTGGTAATAAGCATCTGAAATCACATGTGTAAAAATGGTCACGAATACATGAAATTACTGATCTCAAGTCTTTTTCTTTTTCAAGTTTTCAAGATTGTTTAAGAAATATGTTGTAAAAAATGTTTTTACTTACTGTGTTTTGTAAAATTGGATTATCTTGAATTACGAAGCATATTAAGATATCACAGACACTGAAGTATAAACCACAAATTCTGAATTATGGTCTTTTACTCTCTTTGTTTCCTGACTCTTGAATTTACGTTGTTAAAACATTATTATTTCCTCGCTGTGTGACTCAGGACAAGTCACTTAACCCTGATTGCCTCACCAAAAAGCAAAAAAAAAAAAATTTAATTCTTATTTTCAACAAAAAATGGCAGTTAAAGTTCAGTAAATTTTTTAAATGTTCTCCTTTTTTTCTTGTTATTGAGTGGTCTTATGATGGTTATCATTAACTTATACTGTTTTTTCATGTAACCTTTTTAAAAAAACAAATTCTTAAGTTTAATATGTTAAAATCCTTTATTTGATGAGTTGGCTTTTCCATTGCAAGCATTTCCCACACCTATCCATCCTTCTTGTTATACTTGGAACTGCTCAGGATTTCCATTCTGCTACTATTGTAATTGAAGTAGCCAAAAACAGCAATCCATAGAAAATGTAGATGATGGGTGTTGATTTCCCTTTTTTCCTGTCCAGAAATGGCAGTTGCCATGTCTACCATGTGTTCTGATTTAAAAGGCTTCATGAAAACATTTGTACAAGTTCTGGGAACAAAATCTCTGCTTATGTGATGTTACAGCTGGGTCTTCAGATGTTTTCTGTAATTTCACTTGCGCAGGTTAATTTCTTTGGACCCTGATGTCGTACACCATCTTGATGTATTAGAGTTGTGATGTCACAATTTAGGCATCTGAGAGCCTTAATGGTGAAACTCGTCCCCAATATCTTACTTGCCTCCTACTGGGCAGAGAGCCCTAGGGCTGGTGTGGGCTTCTTCTCAGGTCTTGTAAATAACAACCCGAGTAGAATTGATTCTCCGTTATTTAGGGTCAGAAAATTTGGGGAGCATAGATTTAAAGCCATCAAGAACCATAAATGTCTTCAAATCTTACCCTTTAATTATGTGGTAAATAAACTGAGGCCCAAAAAGATGCTGCAGCTTGCCCCCAGCAGCAAATGGAACTGCAGGTCTAATACTCTGCCCTCAACTGCATGTTTACTGCTGGGTTTCCTTCAGCATTGAGATTCTTTTCTAGTGACTAGTGTTCTGAATTCTCTAACCTAATGGCACAGTTGCTGTCCCGGGCAGGTGACTACCCTGACTTTAACATGGGACAGGGTAGGAAAGATCATTCTGATGTAAAAGGATGAAGTCATCAGGTCACTGTTACTCCCTGTCCTTTACGGCCTCTCCACCTTCCTTCATCCTACGTCGTACTTTGTTGGATTGCAGGACTGCAAAGAAAACCTGGCTTCTGAGCTGACTCAGTCTTTGATTTACATATCCTTGGATCACAGTTGGCCCTAACTCCTTTCCACAGAGAGGATCACCTTTCTTCACCCAGCCCCATAAAAATCCTCGTCAGTGGATCAAGTCATTACCCTTTGAATCATATGATAAATGGAATTTAAGGCGATTGAGTGGTTGTCTCCCTGTGTTTAGTTGTTCTGTTTACCTTTTAGAACAGTGGGCAAAGCTCTTCCAGATCTGGGACTCTTAATGTGTTTGTGTCCTGGAACCAGCTCAAAATAGTGGATAAATTGTCAGTGTAAACATTGATGCCTTGGAAATCAGCGGAAGGCAAACCTTACAAATCCAAGGGCTTTCTTTAGGGTTTTCTTAATTGTCAACTTCAGGCAAAATCTGGTCCGAGGCCTGTTTTTCACGTGACCAGTGACGTTACAAGGTTTTTTTTTTTAACCATTTTAAATAAAGTTTTTATTGTGGCTAAAAACGCAAAAACCATTTTTGGTTGACAGGCTGTACAAAAACAGTCCAAGAGCTGCAAGATTTTGCCTTTTGCCCTGATCTAGACTTAAGAAAGTGATGGAGAAAATGTGATTAATGCAGATTAGATGCATTTGAGAGGAGCTGGTTTTCAGATATTTACCAGAACATTTCTGTATGAACCTCTTTGACAGTCTGATGAAGCCTTTCCAGAATATCATTTTCAAATAAATGAAATAAAATACATAGAATGAGAAAGGGAACAACACAAGGTAGGCAAGCCAGCTTTGCTGAAGCAGGAACCACCTTGACCAGTTGGAGGCAGCTTGTGCTAGACAAGTCAAACCACTACCACCTTGACCACCATCTCCTCTCAATCCCTCCTGGGGGACAGCCTGAAACCAAACCACTAGAACTGTTTGCAACTCGAACCCCCCAGCCATCATTAAAAGGAGAAATCCCTTCAGTGTTGAGGAAGGGGCCCACCTTGATTGTTACTACTAGCATCACCTCATGACCAGCTGCCACCAATAGGCAGAAAAGCACAGGAACCCTGAGAGCATCTGGGAACTTACCTGCTTCCTATAAACTGTTAGGCTGCCCCAACACCCATTATCAATCTTGTTCCTTTTGAAT